AATGACAATAATGTTGGATCCTGATTAGTAAAGGGGGGTCCCCCCCCCTCCCTCAAACAAATAGGGGAACTACCACCAAAACAAATCTGGATTCCTGTAAGGAATTGTTGTAGTTCATTGTAGTATTCATTTTCCTTTCATAGATTGTATATCAGCTAATGAATCATAATCATTGGCCTCAGGAGCTGAGTAAAGGAAGATTCCATGAGCAGTTTTTTTCCAGTGGAAAAAACTTTTCACAATTGAGAACCACTAAACAAATCTATTATTGATGATCAGGTGCCTTCCTGGTCTACTACCTTGAACATTTGTTTAGGAGCAATGCTTTATCAAGGGTTTAATTAGGAATTGGTGGTTTTGGAAAGCTGTCAGTTTTGAAGAAACCTAGAGAAACCTATATCAGCTAATGAATCATAATCATTGGCCTCAGAAGGAATTCAAACCCTCATTAATTAGGTTTCCAATATAAAAAAACTAGGCCCCCCCCAAAAAAATTTTAGCAGTATTCAGGACAACTTTTTCAAACTTGGGGTCTGAATTTTGGAAAAAATTAGCATTATTGCGGACCGGTTTACTAATCGTCATCCAACATTGCACGCACCTGATGACCTGCAACTCCACAACAAATGTTGACCGTTGACAATCCCCCTGGCTTTCCTCTATAAATTCATTGACCATGTGACATGTGCGCACCTTTTTATAGATCATAATTTCAGGTACACCTCAAATGCCAGCCAGACTCTCTATAGAATGGGGCACCAACCTTTGGAAGGGGTGCAACAAAGAACCTCAAATGTTTAGCTTGAAGGTTGGACCCTCATTTTATAGAGGAGATATCGTAGGTATGAAGCTTGCTCATCCAAATGATGTGGACTAATTTCTGATGGTTTTATAGAGACAATGCACTCTATGATAGCTCCATCCAGATTCTATAGAAGCAAGTGTCTATGTAGAATACTTGGTGCCAATTGCTGGCCCTGCCACACAATCCCTCTATAAAATGGGTGTCCTGACCCTTTCTCACCACTCAATCCTTCTATAAACCTCCCGGTATTTTTTCAGGTTCTTTGCCTCCTGCGGCTACCCTTCCCCAATGTCTGGCCACCTGCCAAAGCCAATGTTCCAGGGCCCTCCTAGTGAAATTAGTCTAGCCCTGCCATCCAATCCTTTCATAAAATGGGTGTCGGTGTCCTCACCCCTCCTCACCACCCAATCCCTCTATAACATGGGTGTCCTTACCCCTCCTCGCCGAATAAATTCCGATTCAGAAACTACGATTCAGAAACTACGATGCAGAAACCAAGATTCAGAAACTACGATTCAGAAACTACGATTCAGAAACTACGCCTGCGAAACTACGATTGAGAAACTACACCACCGAAACTACGATTTGAACAAGCGCATTAAACACACAGGTTCACAGAAGGGAAGCATGAAAGCAAATTCAACACGAATACGGCAAACGCCTCATCCGGCGGATGGGGTGGGGCGGGGGGTGGGGGGTTACGAGGAAATAAAGATGCAACGGGGCGCGGGGGTGATAATGACGTGTGGTTTCTGGTTGCGAGCAACTTGAGGAAGCGCATTAATCACGCAGAATCAGAAATTACGCCACCAAAAATACGATTCAGAAAGTACAATTATTGAATAAGCGCATCAAACACACAGGTTCACAGAAGGGACGCAAGAAAGCAAATTCAACACGAACACGCGGATGGGGTGGGGGGTGGGTGAGGGGGATGGGGGGGGGGGGGGGGGGGTACGAGGGAATAAACATGCAATGGGGTGCGGGGCCGATACGGTCGCAGCGCCGATAAACACAGGTCGTGACCGCTGCTGCGCCAAAAGATCCTTGCGCGCTGATGTCAGCGTGTCTTTGTGGTGTGTTTTGTTTCCGAATCCGGTCGTAGTTTCCGACTCATGGTTTCCGAATCATAGTTTCCGAATCAGACTTTAGTTTCCGAATCATAGTTTCCGAATCCGAGGGTAGTTTCCGATTCATAGTTTCCGAATCATGGTTTCCGAATCAGGTCGTAGTTTCCGAATCATAGTTTCCGAATCCATCCTTGACCCTCCTCGCCACCCACTCCTTCTATATAATGGGTTTCCTGACAATTTGGCAAATAAAATTTGTCGGCGTGGTCCACGTGGTCGTTTGCGTTCTTGTTCGCGTTGTGGTCCGCATCCTCCTCGTCCTTGTCCTGGTTTTCGCACTCGCGGCGTGTCGTTGTCGTCATCGTCTGTGTTCTCATGTCATGTCGCGTGGTCATAGTTAGTTGTTTGCGTTTTTTTCCCTTCGTCCTTCTTCTTTCTTTCTTCCTTTTTCTTTCGGTGTCGCGTCGCGGTCATCGTTTTTGCTTCCACGAGCAGCCACTATAAAGTCAATAAGACCTTCTGACATGTTATGTTTATCTCACTTCGCTGATTCAAAATTTGCCCTTTGGAACCCTCCCTGATTTTATAGTGGCTCGATTTTTGTACGGTTTGTTGTTGGAGGGGGGCCAAATGCAGTGGGAACACGTATTAAGCTCGGTGTTCAATTTATAGAGAGAGATAGTCTTGATTTTATAGAGTACATTTTCCCAATGAGCTCAAAATGACGTTTCATGTCAAAAAAAAGGGGACCACGAGCTGCACCCCTAATTCACACCAGGATCATATAGTATAATGGTTGGCCATAGAGGCTCCACATATGAATTGGTGAAGTGTTCTGTGTTTGGCTCATCGTGTTTGCCCACACACATACACACATACACAAACAGAGTTGCCAAAATGCTTGTCCTCAAGACAGTCTAATCTACTGTTTTCTTTGCTGTTCCTACCACCAGCCAATCAAGCTGTATGCAGAATAGCCCAAATGCCACCAGGCTTCATCACAGCTGCTGATTTGGCTGCTTGCAGTTCCTTGGCAGTTTGGAGAGAACCGTGATGAGCCCTTCCAAAACAAGACTTCGTGTGCAGGTGTGCGTGTGTGTGTGTGTGAAACCCGTGGAGTCACAGGGAACCCTTCGATTTGTATAGGTCTTGTACGAGTTTTTTAGCAGGGGGATAACCCACGGATTTGACTGGTGATCCAACGAAGGGTCAAGCTCCGCGCTGATACAAGTATCTGGCCTGATCAGCCAGACGTACTTGTTGTGATTACCACTTACTTCCTCATGGGCCCCCTTTGTTACTAGAACAAATTGATGGCCTTTGCACCGGCTTGAGCTCTGCCTCGGCCGTATAGGGCTTGGGAGCTTTGGTTGCGCTGTGGAAAATGGTTGGACTCCTTTCCACTTCATTCTTTCAGGCTTCTTTTTACCTGACTTCTTAGGCTTTCACTGAGGTTGGCGTGTGGCAAACCGCGACCGTAGCTCGCAGCAAGCGTAGGAGGCTTACGCCAAAGTTATTTGCCAAGATTTATTGGATTTGAGTAGGCAGCCTTCGAGCAAGCCATTAGATGACCACAGCGGTCTCGAGTAGGCGCCTTATTTGCGCATGCAGCACACACATGTCAAACTAAGCTTGGTACCTAGGTCTTTTAATGAGGCTTGGTCTCGTTGGTTTTTGGCCCCTCCATTTGTTTCCCCCGTTCATCCTTCCCCCTTTACATACACTTTCTTTCCTTTTTCATTTCATGAAGCCTTCATGTCCTGTCATCTCACACCCTTTCTTCTTTTGCGTGCACATCGGTCCGGCCCTCAGCACGCACGCGCACAATTACACTAAACCCAGGTTTCAGGTCGCCCAGGTCTTGACAAGGATGGTTGGTTCATCGGTTGTCCCTGTACACCTGCCTTCCCTTGCATCGCAAGTCTTCTTCTCACATCTTCGTCCTTTTGTCCTTTTTGCGCGCACACATGCACATCAGTCTGCCCCTTAGCTTTCTCGCCTCCCCTTGTGGGAGGCGTGCGCGTGAAACCTTTGGAGTCACAGGCAATCCTTCGATTTGTATGGTCTGGTACGAACTTTTCAGCAGGGGATCACCCACAGACTTAGACTTGACTGGTGATCCAACGAAGAGGGTCAAGCTCCGTGCTGATATCTGGCCTGATCAGCCAGACGTACCTGTTGTGAGTACCACTTACTTCCTCATGGGCCCCCTTTGTTACTAGAACAAATTGATGGCCTTTGCACCGGCTTGAGCTCTGCATCGGCCGTATAGGGCTTGGGAGCTTTGGTTGCGCTGTGGAACATGGTTGGACTCCTCTCCATTTCATTCTTTCAGGCTTCATATTACCTGACCTCTTAGGTTTTCACTTCGGCTGGCGTGTGGCAAACCGCGACCGTGTCAGCTCGCACTATCTTGAGGGTGTGTGTGTGTGTGTGCGTGTGTTTTTGCCAGAAAGTTCAATACAACATGATGCAGTTTCTGCCCACCTATTGAATGTCATCATGCTATCTTTGAGCTTCGCAACTGTTTACTTTCTGAGACAGAGCCCTTTACACCGGAAGATTCACAAGAAAAATCCTCTAAGTGGACTTTTTGTAAGGACCTTCTGAACGAGAGTTCGAAAACATCCGTTTCGCACCATGCATGGCAGTGCCGCGTCCGCTCTGAGGGCCCGACATTTGGAAAGACTCTGGGGCAGCGGCTGTGACAGTCCACGAGAAGATCCGGGTCGGCTTGGTCGGAAGGTTCAAAGGTTCACAAAGAAACCGCAATCAATGACCACTGCATCCAAGGAATTCAATATGTGATTTTCTAATGAACAAATTTCATGATTTTCAGGGGTTGTCTAGACACGGGACATCGCAATCCTAGGGAGGCCAGAAGTATCACTGAGAGGTGTACTGGGCACAGGCAAAGTGCTCCGGCACAAAAATTCCAGGCCTTGCCATGGCTGGCTTTCGGAGGTCCTGCCAAGGTGCGCCGGTCCGATCTGCTCCGATGATGTCGGTCATTGCTCCTGCCAACAACTACACAATCATACTAATTTGGTTGCGGATGCAGTTTGAGCTCAAATTGTGCAATAGTTTTTGGCTCAAGCAGTTGCACCCATCGCAGACAGGCAAAGGGCCTGGGGCCTAGTCGTTAAAGGAACTTGTGGATGCTGGACTCTTTGTAACTTGTGAACTGCCATCCATGCCTTGCCATCCGTTGGTTCCTGCAGCTCCTCAATACTTGAATGCACTGCACGACTTGTACTTTTGGCATTTTTTTGAGATGCGCTTCAATAACACTCCCTTCTGAAGGAAGAAATTCAGCATCCATCAAAATTAGTGTATATACCCTTCTCCAGGTCGTCATGGCTGCTTCCGCTTTGAGCTTGATGACTGCAGACTCTTGGCTACCATGCTGGATTGGAACGGTCCACAGTGGTCCTGATTTGTGCCCACGAAGGCCAACTGAGGTCCATCATTTATCTTTGAATGTAGTTTAAGGCAAACATGGAAGATCCTGCTCAGACAACATGCTGCATCCCAAGGACTACAAGGACTTTGGCCGCTTCTACGATGCTGACTCGGTGCGGAGGGCGGTCGCCAGCAGGGTCATGAAGACGAAGTTCACCAATTCTGGGTGTGAACGTGTCCAGCAAACAGAGCCAACGCAAGACAGGCTGTGAAAACATTGCAAAACAACATCCTAGAGTCCCACGTAGCAAAACAATATCCTGCGGATGCTTCGGGCACTGGTTGGTGCACCATAGAGACACTAAAACATCAAAGAACCCTTATATGATGACCCATTTTGCTGTCCTCCCTGAATCTCTACTCTGGCACAGTGGGTGACAGTCAGCCGCTGTCAGCTGACTGATCAGCCCACACCGTGAATGATCAAACCCATTATCTATATATATGTCAATGTATATAGCCTAGCTATATACATATAGTATACAGTATATACAGTATAGTAAAATAAGATCACTAGAAAGTAGGCAGAGACTTGGGATCATTGGGCGGACATTCAAAGCCATCATCCGCTGTTTCCCAGGATGCTACCACTACATCCTCTTCTGATGTAGCAGAGGCTCATTGATTTCTACAGCGTGAAGAACTGGTGGTTTAGCCAGCTGATTTTCTTCCAACTCTTCTCAGCGAAAGAAGCTTAACCCAGACTTGAGCAGAATGCAATAGAAAGCTTGTGAATCGCATGCTTGCTCACGACATTCAAAAAGGTTCCTTTGGAGACACATCCGTTTGCCCTCAGGCGGAAGGTCGTGGGTCTAAATGTGGATGTCAAGCTGGAACCACCTACAACCCATCAGCTGTGGTGTAATTCAGCTGACCTTCATATGATATTTTCGCTATGTGGTAGTATAATGTAGTATATGAGACTTGCATGTTGTGTTTTTTTTCACCAGGTGAGCTTTGACCTCAACAACTTTGCACCGGCACCCTGCCCAGTGATGCACGATGCGTGTTCACGATGTGTGTTTCAGATGCTTAGTGTTCAAGCATTTGATGTGAATACAGTATACCATAAAACAGTCAGGGCATCCGCAATAACACTGATAGAATTTGTGGAAGAAGGCTTGAACTATGGACCCCGAAGGAAGCGCATTGCAAGCGTCAGGAAGACTTTGCACAGCAGCTGCAGAGGCACCTTGTGATCCTTGTTTGTGTTTATCGCATGTATTTGGAGGCGCAGATTTGGTTACACAACTCCAGAAGAACTGCGGGTCAAGTGAAGAAAGCTGGCAGTTTGGCTCGCAGAATCGTTTGGCAGGCCCAAAAAAGATGCTCATTGGCCGTTTGTGTTTCTTCTTGACAACCATGCATATATGCCACAGCGCGTTCGGGATGTTGATGGGCCTTGACACCGCAGCACTGAAACGTGATGCAGTGATGCCCCCCGAACGGCTGTGGGCCACGAATGGCCATGACCAGTTTTGGGAGCGAAGCAAGGAACGAATCGCTACTAGGAACAAGTGCATCGCTACTAGTGCCCTTGTTGCTAGTAGCGATGCCCTTGTTACTAGTAGCTTCTTGCTATTAGCTAGTTCCGTAGGACGTTTTTCTCCACGGCCCTTCACTGGCTTCACCCGCTTTTTGAATCGAACAGGCAATCAGCCTATTAGCACGTTTTTTTGCAACCATTCACCAGTCTAAGCAATCATCAAAACCATATATATTACAATGTTCGACAATTTGCCAGAACCAGGCAGCATCGCTGTGGGATTCCATCAGGCATTGTAAAGGCCTCCCTCAACAATCACCGCGAATGTTTACCGGGATGATTGGTGTGGCTCTTTGCACCCGCAGGAGATTGAGGCATCCAGCTGGCAAGATGATTGCTCCACCACCCAAGGAGGGCTGATCAGGTTTGTGGCGCTTCCACGGTTTGCGGAGCTTGCACGGTGTGTTTTTTGGATAGCATACTTGAATCTCACCATGTCCACAATCGAGCAAGCTCGGGATGTTTCGCAACTACAATCTCCACCATGGACTCAACCAGAAAGTAAGACACTCCCAGGATTGAAGATGATTGAAAGATCGGACACACCTGGTACTACGGCCAAGTAGTTCAACCGACTGGCCTCTCCAAAGAACAAAGTAGCGACCAAAAAGGGAGTGTGATTGCAAAGCACTTGTCTAGTCTTTTTTTCTCCAAACAGTGTCGTCACACTAGGGGTTCTTTCCGTAATAGTTAAGGGCCAGTGTCTAACCATGCCCCCAACTACTGGGGTCTAGAATGGGTGACCTGGAGGGTCTGAGACAGGAGGGTCTAGAATGGGTCCAATGTCATTGTAGACCCTTTATATATAGGTGAGTAAAGTAGACCCCGTGTAGTTGAGCTTGAAAATTTGTGGCTTGGAAAACTTGAGTTTTTTTTTTGTTTCAAGAAATCAAAACTGATTCGATTATGAACAGAGATGCACATCACGAAAGATAGAAATCACATGTTTTTGTTGGCGTCCTGAACTGAAGTCTTGAATCAAGTGTTGAAATCTGAGCTAGATTTATCCTGCACTCCAGGAGACATAAACAGTGGCGGTGAAGAATCATTAAGTGCAGATTTCGCGGCAGACGCAGCACTTTGTGAACCTCAAAGTGCAGAGTTCGTGGCAGGCGCAGCACTTTGTGCACACTCTCACTCTCACTCACTCACTCGTGACGTTCATCACCACCATCACCTCTCTGGACCCCAATGCATCTAGATCTCTCGACTTTTTGCTGCGGCACCCCTATACCTCACTCTGACAATTGTATTCAGTTAACTCAATTACCACGATGGGAAGGATGGCGATGGAACGGCATGGCGAAAGAGTCGGCAAGAACTGTATTGTTGAACAATGTTGCAAGTCTGCTGCAAGCCTGCGGTGGGAAAAGGTTTAGGGGTCTATCATGCAAGGACCATGGAATCAAACAAGGAAAAATTGGAGTCACAGCATGATCAACGGTTGTGTCGCAGGTACAGGAAACTGGCCAAGTTTCCCTTCCCACTCTTCTCCACAGCTTCGTTGCGTGTGATAGGAGAAGAGTGTCACACGCCCCTGCGAGTGAAAGTTTGTGGAAAACTGGTGAAAGAGGTAGCGGTGGAAGACCCTTTGCCCAGGGGTGGACACACACAGATCGCCGGCGTCGGCGCTTTTTCAAAAAACGGTGGCAGGCTTGTTGGTTGTGTCCTTTTTGGACATAAAGCCTCACTAGCTCAGCGGCAGCAGCATCAGCGCTGGAAGGTGGAAATGTGTATTTTCTTGTTGGTAGGTGTGGTCATGCATCGCGAATTAGATTGGAGAACTCCAGTGTGCAAGCTTGAGTTCTGCTGACAAAATTCACGGCAAAAATCAAAATGCAAAAACTGCAGAAACTGACATGCAAGATCAAGTAGCTGCCGTGTTTGGGCCCGGCGGCCAATGTATCTGTTGATTCAAAGGATGTGTCAATGACTTCCAGTGGACATCCGGTGAAAGGTGGCAAGTTGGGGTGGGTGATTTCCAATGCAAGAACGGCGCCCCAGTGACGGGGATCACACTCAGCACCCGAGTGGGACGGCTGAGCGAAACACACTCTGACAATTGTATTCAGTTAACTCAATTACCACGATGGGAAGGATGGCGATGGAACGGCATGGCGAAAGAGTCGGCAAGAACTGTATTGTTGCAATGTTGCAAGTCTGCTGCAAGCCTGCGGTGGGAAAAGGTTTAGGGGTCTATCATGCAAGGACCATGGAATCAAACAAGGAAAAATTGGAGTCACAGCATGATCAACGGTTGTGTCGCAGGTACAGGAAACTGGCCAAGTTTCCCTTCCCACTCTTCTCCACAGCTTCGTTGCGTGTGATAGGAGAAGAGTGTCACACGCCCCTGCGAGTGAAAGTTTGTGGAAAACTGGTGAAAGAGGTAGCGGTGGAAGACCCTTTGCCCAGGGGTGGACACACACACACTGCTTGGCGTCTCTGGCGTCTCTTGCCGGGATAATGTAAAGAAGCGGCACACGCAGCACCCATACTTCAAGGCAGCTGAGTGATTGAATCTGATTGCATATGCCCTGTGCTGGCTTAGCAGTGTTCTCAGGCTACGGGGTTCCCCCGAGGCACCTGTGCAGTATTGGTAAAAAAGAATGAAATTATGTTCACCTGACATTTATATTTTTTACGTTTTGCGCGGCAAAAGCGCTAAAAAAAAATAAATGTTTGTTGTGCCGTTTTCTTTGTGCGGGTGCGAGCGGGTATCCCTGAGCAGAACAACGCACGCAAACGGGCTTAGAATATGCCGCAAACGTGCCTCCAAGCAGTCCAGACAGCGTTGTCAAAAAGCATGGCAACATTGGGATCTACTTTTTGTTTGGCGAAGAGTAAGAAATCCCCTCACAGTCTGGTGCGCACCCAAGGTAGGGTGAGAAAGTCGTGACGTAGTGATGGCCGCCGGCGAAGAAGTTGTTACCGTTTCATGCTGTGATTGGTGTCTCCTCCGAGCAAAGACTGAGAGATGTCAAGAGTCACATGCCCGAAGCCCTTTGAGGAGCCTGCACCGCTTTTCATTGAGGAATCCCTTCCGCCGTCTATGAAGGCCAAAATTTGGGGGAAAAGGCCAGTATCGGTTGATTATAATCGAACATGACTCGACGTTATGTTACAGTGCCTACATTGCACGCAACATCAGTTTCTGATGTGATTTTGCTTGCAAATCTTACAAAGTGTTTTGTCATCAAAAGGTTTTAAGGAAGTCCTTACACTCTTGAACCTCAGTTTCGTGCAGTTTGTTTTGTACTGGTACAACGATGCAGCCTTTTCCTTTGTACAAACATTACAACACGGACCATTTTCTTTCGCTCAACTAGACTATACTGGACTAGTTAAATCTTCAAAGTATGCACAGCGCAAAGCCCTTTGCTTGTATCCATGTGCGTTTGTCACAAGTGCAGGTAGAATATTATCATAGATCTGCTAGGGCCCACTATTCCTGGAGGCTTTCCCCTTCCATCCTGACCCTTCTGGAGGAATACACTGACACTGTTGAAAGCTATTCTTTGCACTCCCTCCTCCTGGAATTCCTTTCTGCAACTTATATACGTAGTTTCCGTAGGCCTAGGCTTGTTGTTTGCTTGGGAAGGAGGAAGGCCTTCAGTTTGCAAGCTTGTTGCAGCCGGTCAAAGCAAGCACTCATAAGCTAGAGCGCAGGGTGGTTCTTAAGAAGTGCAGCACAAAGTTTGCTGGCAAAATACTGATTTGTTCTCGAAGATACCCTGTGCCAAATATACTATATACAGTGTATATATATACATTCTGTCTCAGATTGAATTCAGTCATGAGATGGTTTACTATGGTCAGTCACTTAATTATTATGTAGTGAGGTTTGGTTTGCGACTACTGTGAAAGAAATCCAACCACGGGTTGCCAGGTGGCCACGCCCTTGGTGGCCTACAATCTCAACCCGTTCCTGCCAGCCGCAGCCTAAAGCTTCATGGAATTGCTAAACTGGACCTTTCCTTGGCATTTCTGAATCAACGAGGAGGAATGTCCAAATTCCTAAATGAGCCAGTGTAGCAGGGTGGCACACTACTGCGGGTGTTCAAGGTCTTAGGCAAGATACATAATTAAAGTTTGCAGTATGCAGGTGGGCGCAAGACGCAAGACATCGCAAGAGATCAGAGGTTCTTTTTTTGCTGCAAAATGCGTCTACGTCTGATAGCAGTGTTATTCGTGAAAGTCCTTGTAACAGGTTCATTGAGCATCAGACTCCGGAGTTCTTTTTTGCCCTCCGGAATTCTTAGTGATTTCTTGTTTCTCCTTTTCTTCAGTTTGGTAGAGACATTTAAGTTTGCACTTGACCAAGGCCAAGAAGAGACCGTCCTTTGCAGAGGAGTTGGGAGCATCTCAAGGATTTCTGCAGTGCGGACCTCACGTTATTCTTCGTCATGCCATCGAAAATTTTGAACGTTTGTGTTGCTTTTTCAAAAGTGGCTTGTTACTTGTTGCTGTTGCCATGGCACTAACCACGAAACTCCTGTCTGCTGCATATGCAATTGTGTTGCAGTCTTATCATCATCCAGGATAGGATTGCACTGATTCTCAACATGTGAGGATGACCTGATGACCTGGCCGCAGCACACATCGACCAGTTTCATTGATTGAGGGTTTCAGTGGCTTGAGCCACCCAAATGTTGTATGGCATCTTGCTCAACAGGGTTTCTGTAATTTTGTGGGACTCTGAAGCCACAGACAAGCCAAAGAAGTTTAGCTGCTTGGGGGTCGCCGTTGCAAGGTTCACCTGGGAGCCTGCAGTCATCCGGACAAGTGATCTATCAGCCTTCTGAGTGCCAGAGGCTTCACTGTCGTTTGCTCAAAACATTGTCGGATTTATATATCATATTAATTCATATTACACAATATTGTATCATGTATTTGCAGCAACAAGTGTTTGGATGTGCTTGGGGGGACACCGGAACCGGAAACGATGGTTTTGTTCAGTTTGTCATGAACCCTAGCACACATAAGTGGGAATTAGACGTCGCAGGACAGGCCTTAGCAGAGAAGCCATCAGGACTCCTCATTCCGATCAGCCTTTTCTTGTTCCTGGAAGGGCCTCCCTCAGCGTTTTGGGGAACAAGCAACAGAATATCCCCAGCTGGTACGTCTTCCGGAAAGAACATTGTGTTTTTTCGAGCGTGTTCGATATCACATGGTTCCATGTCAGTGCAGTCACGAGAGATCTCGAATGGATTGGCCTCAGTCTGCCAGGATGTTGGACAACGCCCTAGTTGCAGGCCGAGTATATGTCCATTTGTATCAGCTCGTTTGTAATCTCAGCACCCCAAAGCAAACATGCAAAGGGTTCTCATCCCAGTTGCTTCGGTTGCTTGACTGTGCCACAGCTATACCATGTTATACCGCCGCTTCTACTTCCGCCTTCAGCATAAACTTATCGAATCGTTCGGGGGCATCGTGCACCAGGTTTGCAGATGTCTCACAATGAGTTTCTGCAGGCTGGTAGGCCGGTTTGGGAAGGGAAAGAAGCTTGGTTCTATGGGTTCTCAACTGCGAAAAGTTTTCCCCAGAAAATACATCCTTTCCTGAGATCTTAACACTACAAAGCCAATGACTGGCTTGCTGAGATTATGGCTAATTATTGGTTTCTTTAGTTCTTCTTCAATACTGACAGCTTCCCAAAGCCATCAATTCCTTAATCAACCCGCCTTTATGTGAAGATTGCTCCTAAACACATTTTCAAGGTAGTAGACCAGGAAGGCCCCTGATCCTCAATAATAGATTTGCTTTATGGGTTCTCAACTGCGAAAAGTTTTCCCCAGGAAATAGATTCTTTCCTGAGATCTTAATATTACCAAGCCAATGGCTGGCTTCAGTTCTTCTTCAAAACTGCTGAGATCCTGAGAACCTTCTTCGTACTCTTCTTAGTAGATTAAAAGGATTGCTGATGATATCTACAAAGCACCTGAGAAAAGAAAATTAATAATTGCAATATATGAAATGAAAGGAAATGAACATCAATGCTACAATCAATTGCAAAAGGAATCCTCCGAGGAATCCTGATTTGTTTTTTGTGGTAGCTTATTAGAGGGTCCCCTATTACCTGAGGGTGGGGGTGCCCCTGTACCAATCAGGATCCTACATTACGGCCTTAGCTATACCCGAAAGGTGGGTACCTTGAGGGAGGCACCAGCATTCACAAGACTGACTCCTTAGTTGGCAGGGCGAGAAGGATCCTGCCGGTAGTGGCACCATGTGAGGGGAGGGCATCACGGGGGTCCAGTGGGCTGAGGAGCTACTGAAGCTGAGGCATCTGTCAGTGCAAATAATGCAAATGTACTACGTATTGCTGGGCCCGTGAATATGCAGAAAGATTCGAAGCTGTTCAATCAAGAGTTTCGGAAGCGTCATTCCACTGTGTTTGCCAGGAACACTACCCACTGTTCAATGATTTCAAAGGCTCACAGACCTGGATCAGGTTTTCTCTTGCACAAAAGCAATTGACTTCTGGCTTTTTCTTATATACTTTATTGTATTTTCAGCTGTTGATATGGTCCCTTTGGTGGATGTTGAGACAGTTAGGATAGAAGGAAGCTGCTGTTCCTTTCTCCCTTACATGTTGCGGCCGGGCTCAGGCGAAAACATTCCTGCTACGGCGGAAAGCTGTGCAAGGAAGGTTCTATGATGCTGGTATCACTAGGAAAGGCCAACGCATTGATCCGTTGATGCAGAGATTAAGGTAGTTTGCTAGTCTCGCAGAGTTCAAAGCGAACTCGCGCAGTGGGGCAGCCACTGTGGTTCTTTGGGAGGAAACTCTATGGTTATTGTCATCCACAGGGAGGGATTCAAACCCTGAGGATCGCTGGGCAGTCCACTCCGCAGGAGTTTATGGACACGCTTCAGCTTATGAATTTTGGAGCCCGCCCCTGGGGCTTTGATGACACACCCTCGAGCGTCTGCCTGGGAAGTGGGGAGCAGTACTGAGTACAGTATCACCTAATCCGAAATACACGGTTCAATACTCTTTTAATTGAGTGCCTCTCAGTTTCTCAGGATTGATTTATGTTTCTAGCAGATTAAACGATCCATAGCATGTATAGGACAACTGTAAGCTTCCTCGCGCCAGCGCTCTTGGGTTTGTCAGGAACTGACTTTGCCTTTGTTTGGTTGCCTCCACAGTTTGAAGGGTGAGGAGCCTATCGTCCGGAGCCTTCTTGCGAAAGCAAGTGAGTATACTCACGGCATCCGGCCACAATTGTGGACCTGCCTGCTGCCTTCTGACAACAAACTGATAAGGCTTATACGACCTAAATGATACTAAATGCGCATTAGTTCCTTTCTGTCTTTTGCCCAGGCTCGTAACGTGGCATGAATTGAAACCGAGGGGGGAAACTCGATGTGGATCCTGTTTCGAACAGAATCAGGTCCAAGATTTGGGAAGTTACTGTTCTCAGTTTGGGGATTATATACTTAATTAGTAGATCTCAGTAGTGTTTAGTACTCGTGTTTGTTGTCCTCAAATGCAGCAATTCCCAACTTGGTTCAGGAGCCGATGTTACTTGTTCTGGTTTGCCCCCTGTTTGAGAAAGTTTCAGTTCAGAGAGCCAGGCAGTGCAGATCCGCCGTTGCACTTATTGCCAATTGCATATCTCGCCCCAGCGTTCCTGCGAGAGTGCCGTAGGTCGGCTTTCGACTTGGTGACAGACCGATCTCAATGCAAATGAGAGATAGCAGAAAAAAAGAAGCTGTGAGCTCCCCACAAAACATGCAATTTACTTCGATTCTCCGTTCAGTTGAGGATCACTTGGCCAAAAGTTGCTACTATGTGGCATGAGTTGCTCCATTGATGCCTTGGTTAAAATCCTGCACATACATAGCTCCCAGGATCTCCCATGTAGATGCAACAGATTCTAGACAAATTGCATACAAGCACGAGCATTATTAGGTGCTATGTAGCTTCTTTTGCGATTGGTGGAGGGACTTTGATATACCAACTCTGTCCACTCTACCCTGAGGATGAACAACGCACGTGTTGCCAAAAACACAAAAATGAGTAGTAGTAGTAGTAGTAGTAGTAGTAGTAGTAGTAGTAGTAGTAG